ATATAAATTTTACGGTGCTCTAAAATATAAATTGTTGTGTATTGTAAAAATTATTGTGTATAGATCACCTCGTGAACTAAATGTAAAACTCAATTATTATTTAGTTTTATTATCTCTAAATTACTAGTTTAGTTTTATAATTACTGTGTAATGATTTAAAAAATAAATACTATGATATTAAAATCAAATAAATTTTTTATAATTAATTTATACGAATGTGGGTGACAGAATGACCACAATATCTTTTTTAAAAGAATGTGTGGTATAATAAATAAATTAACGAATTAATAAATAAAGGAAGGCTAAATTTGGAGGATGAATGACGAGAGTGCTGAGTTCATGAAAAAAAATAACAAATCAAAATATAATTAAAATCTTTGATATCTTAGTTGTTTATAATCCCACGAACGTGATGTGTGTATCAAAAATATTAATAAATGTAAAAGTAGAACTATGAATAAGATAAGTTTGCCTTCGTGACTTCGTGTTATACACGAAATATTGTTTTTAAATTTTCAGATATATATATATATATATATATATATATATATATATATATATATATATATATATATATATATATATATATATATATATATATATATATATATATATATATATATATATATATATATATATATATATATAGGGTTAGGTTCATTTGAGACTACCTATATTTTGTGAGACCGTGAGACGCATTTTCTTATTTTTTTTTATTTTTTTTTAAATTTTTTTTAGTTAATTCAAGTTCCGAAAATAATATTTAAAAAAAGAATTTTTTGATTTTTCCATTTATTTTGCATTTTAAAATTATTTTTAGAATATGTACAGTGTAATATTCTATTTAGAATATTTCACGTATTTTTCAAAAAAAAAATAGAATTTTTTTTTATTTTTTTTAGTTAATTCAAGTTCCGAAAATAATATTTAAAAAAAGAATTTTTAGATTTTTCCATTTATTTTGCATTTTAAAATTATTTTTTAGAATATGTCAGTGTAATATTCTATTTAGAATATTTCACGTATTTTTCAAAAAAAAAACGGAATTTTTTATATTTTTTTATATTATTTTTAGTTAATTCAAGTTCCGAAAATAATATTTAAAATTTTTTTTTTTGGATTTTTCCATTTATTTTGCATTTTAAAATTATTTTTAGATTTGGTCTCACGGTCTCACAAAATTAGAATGGTCTCAAATGAACCTGAACCTATATATATATATATATATATATATATATATATATATATATATATATATATATATATATATATATATATATATATATATATATATATATATATATATATATATATATTGATAATTATTATTATCATTTATTTATTTATTTAACCAATTAAGTTTATAAACAGTGGCAATATTAGGAAGAAGCTAATATCGCATACTTTCTCGTTTTTTAGTCCACAAAACCTGTTAACCTATAAACTTTTTGGTGTAATACAATAAACAAAATAATTTTCATATAAAAAAATTGTAATAATTTTGTAAAACTTAAATATTTTTCATATATGTTTGCTTTTAAGATTAGATATAATATTATCACATGTTATGTTGTGGGTCATTAATTAAGCAAACTAAAGATGATGGCTACATGTTTGTACATTTCCTAGTGGTGGATAGGATTGTTTTATCGTTATCACATGCTATTACTTATATTAGTCGGTCAAAAGATGGCCAATGAATACGTCAAACGCATAAGATCTAGTGTTTAATTAAAGGTATTATTGATACCACGTTATTTTTTAAGAAAAAATTTTGTTCAAAAGATCGGTATATAAATCCGGTTTGAGACTATTGTGTAAATTTAAAAACTGAATCGTGTAAGTTTGTCATTCAGAAAAAGTTTTTAAACAATATTATTATAAAAAAAAAGCTTCTAAATTATATATTTATACTTGATGAAATGAAAAATATTAATAATGATTTTCATTTACTTTCAATCAAATGCTCAATCTTATGGGAACTATTATGTCACTTCGCGCCGAACATGAAAAACCTTGTGGCTGACCCTGCATATGTTTACAACAGTTGACATATGTATAAGTAAACATTTTATAGTCAATATGTTTTTCTTTTCATTAAATTTGTAAGATCATCATTATTAGTGTCCCTTCTTAAGGGGTTGAGGATTAAGTCTTGTGGATGATCTTATAATATTTTTGAAGAACGAGAATGATGATCATAATGAGGAAGGTGCTCTAACATGGTGGAGTGTGTATGCAACATTGGCAAAGATGGCCATGGATGTACTTTCCATTCAAGGAACATGCAGGCCGGCTTGAGGCTTCTTTAGAAGCAAATAAGAAACAGTGGGTAAAGAAATTCAAAAACTCACATTTTTTTATGTTAATAGTATTTGTGAATTATGGAATATCAAAATAGATAAGTATTTCCTGTTGGATAAAAAATTTGGATATTTGACATTTCTTCTTTGGATAAATATGTACATGGATAATACTATGATGGACATTACTAGAAAAAAGGCTTTTTTGACAGACGAATTACGACATACAGCAGTTCTATGACAGGCACAAAAGTCTGTCAGAAAACTTATGTCATATAATGTAAAATTTCAATGATTCACGACAGACAGAAATGTCTGTCATTATTTTATGTCGTATTTTAAAGAGTAAATTAAATTGCATTTTATCCTTTAATATTACAAGAAAAAGTTAAAATTAAAAGGATACATAATGTAACTTAATAGAAAAAAAATTTTGAAAATTAAAATTCAATCCAAAAAAATCTAGGAATAATTAAAATTTTTAAGATAATATAGAATAATTTATTATATAGATATTATCTTAGATGTTATATAATTTTAATATAGGATATTTTTGATAAAGTTTGATAGAAGCTATATAGTCATTATTTTTTAAAAGATGCAAGGAAGAAAAAAAAAAGTTGTACTGTTAGGTGCTATTTGCGCACCTTTTTGCGCACCTTTTAGTCCCATTTTATGCATATATTTAGCACAATTGTTCTTCCTTTTCCTTGCATTTTATCATATTCATTTTAGTCTCTAGAACAACCTTATTTGCACACTTTTATATCTTTTTCAGGTAAACCGGAGGTTGGAACACGCTTTGGGAAGTGTCGGGAAGCATTGGTGAAGATTTTGGGACGATCGGGTGAAGAACAAAAAAGTTGGAAAAATCAAGTTTGGAATTGGAGTCAGAGAGGTACACGGGGCGTGTTGAATTTACACTGAAAAGTGAGCACGGGGCGTGTTTGACCAAAATATGAGCTGCTGACCATGCTGAACACGACCCGTGTCAGTTTAATGCAAATCAACACAGGGCGTGTTGCTGAACACGACCCGTGTCATTCTAGCCTATTCGAACACGGGCCGTGTTCGACCCAGAAACCAACTTTTGGCAGTTTTTCCTATCTTTCATATGACGAGTTAAGGGTCATTTTTAGAAGAGGGGGAACATATCAGAGCACCATTGGAGAGAAGAATTCGAAGCTTTTTGCAAGGGTTTGTCCGTTAATCATTTGGAAACATTAATTCTTGTTTTTGTAAGTTGTAATTACACTTAATTTCATCTTTTAGATGTGTGATCTTGTTCTAGCCATGTGTGGCTAGAACCCTAATTTCTCCAATTTCATGTTTTGACTTCTTGGTAGTGACTTCATTAATATGACATGATATTTGTTCTTAATTTCTATCTAATGAATTTGATTTTGCTTCAATCGAATGTTTGATTCTAATTATGATTCTTATTGGCCATTTGAATTAGGGTTAGGTCATTCAAGTTATCTCTTTTACAAAATTCGTAATTGTTTTGTGAAATTGAACAAGTAACAAGCATTAAATTGATCTCTATTGAATGAATTTAGTGTAAATCTTATTCATACACTTTTACATCCCGAGCTTATGAGGAGTATTGGGTGTTGTTGGGAACATTCACATCAAGCTTCATGCAATCTTATAATCTAATCCTAAGAGCTTGTTTAGATTAGGTTAATAAGGTTAGGATTAATCAAAGAGCTTGTTTTGGTTGATTAATATGGTGAATGGGAAGTGTTAGAGCTTATTAGCACTTTCAAGTACCAACTTAGATAGAAACGAATATTGTGTCATTTTTGAGTCACATTGCTAAATTATCATACATGGGGTTGGAGTCCTTACAAATTCTGAATTTAATTCACGCATTTAGTTGATTGCTTATGTTTTTAATTGTTTGTTTAATCATTACATTCTAAACCCCCTCTCTTTACTATTGGTGACCATAGTACCTTGTGCAAATAGGTATAGACCAATTGTCCTGTGTCTCTGTGGATCGACCCTGCTTGCCTTGTACTACCTTTTAGTGCAATATAGTGGGATTATTTTGGAGTATATCGTACCCCTTTATTTGTTGGGTTTGACATGTACATTTTAATTATAGTTGTCGGTGACTATCTTGACTATGTAAGGAGAATGCTACGAGTGGCATCCTATAGATAAAATGACTATCTATTTAAAATATGTAAAACGAAAAAAGGTACTATGAAAATGGAGGATGGTCCATAAGTTGTCTAAATTATATTGAAATCCTTTAATATATATCCAAAACAGTCAACTAAATAAAAAGTAACATTTTTTTACATGGAACCTATATTGATCCATTACTTAACTCTTTTAACAATGCACAAAGAAATGTTCCAAAAAAAGATATGACTTATAAAATAAAGGAGTAAACTTGGGTCACATGAAATTCACTATTGCAACTCATATTTCCATAGACTATATATCTTCCTTTGAAGAATATATCATATCTCAAGGGACTGAAAAGGGAATAAAAGAGAAATAAAAGGGTAGTATCGTACATTGTAAGATTGGTGGGGCTTCTTATTGTAACAATTCACTGGAAGGCTCAGACACGGTGATACCCTCAAATCTCGTATTACCATTCAAAATCACCTCACCATTCCTTCCACCGATTCGTGAATCACAAAGGCTTTTGCTTTACAGTTTGAGTAAGAATCGTAAGAAATGGAGGTCGGCGTACCTATTGTTGATGACGGGAAGGCTCGCAGTGATATCTTGCTTTTTAACCGCCGGACCTACGATGACGTTCAGGTTATCTTCTTAACCGATTAATTCAAATTCACCGTTATCAGTAGATGTTTGTTTGTGTAAAGTGTTTCAGTATCCGTGCTTCCAGTTAATTTCTTCAATGGTTGTGTGGAATTAAGCTCAATGTATTGTGATTCTAGCTCATGAACATCAATCTTGATCTGGTTGATTTAGAATAATATGTGAATTCTGTAAACAGGTTACTGATCTTTCTGTACTGCTACTACATCAAAGCACCCAATCTACATGCCTCACACAACTGGAAGGTCACACAACTGGAAGGTACCAAGCAAGGAGGTTCAGGAAGGCTCAATGCCCAATTGTGGAGCGATTAACCAACTCTCTCATGATTCATGGGAGAAACAATGATAAAAATCTCGTGGTTGTTCGCATATTCAAACATGCAATGGAAATCATCCATCTGTTAACCAATGCTAATCCCATTTAAATCATCGTAGATGCTATCATCAACAGGTACATAATCAATCACCGTCTATAGTTTCACTCTACTTCTTTTCAACCATCCTTACATTTCCAGTAGTATCTCGGCATGTGATAAAGCAATGGATAAATTTTCATCTCCTTAATTTTGTTAATATGGATATTAGTTACTACTAACACATACTTCATTTTGGTATATGCAATTAGTGTTTTTACTTATTAGCTTTCCTGATTTAATGCAACCTGACATTTGACATTTCTTACAGATTATGGATTTGGAGTAGTCAATTCAAAGGTGAAGATAATCCATGTGATTGGAGTAATGGATCCTTAGTTCCTTACAAATGGTCTAAATCAAAATGGAGATGCATCATGGTACTTCACATGTCAACCACATAACTAGTTTTATTATTTTATACTTTCATTCTTTAAATTTCAAACCCATTTCAACAGGTGATGTGGGATGAAGATGTTGGTAACAACAATAATGAATGAATCTCTCAATGAGAGATTGATCTTTTGGGTGTATCTCTCCTACTTTTAAGCATTCATCCTTCTCTAAGATTCAAAAAAACTCCGGTCCTCTGCAACTGACATAGGTCCTCTGCAACATTAAAACCAATATTAAAATTAGTGTAAACTGTTTTAATCATATTTATTATACTATTTGAAGAAGTAGGTTTTTGCAACTGACACAGGTTCTCTACAACATTCAAGTCTTTACAAAAGTGATGCCTTCTCTTTTTGCTCCAAATTTTGAAGACCTCTTTACAAACACTTCATATGCATATCAAGTCAAATCTCTAAAACTTGAGATCCTTTCTTCCATTGCTACATATGAATCAATCTCAATTATCTTCAAGAATTGCAGGTAGTTTCATTAATATATTTTTAAAAAAATATTGGATTGAATATAATTTGGGATCCGAAACCATTGAGTTGTGTTTGAATATTCTATAGTGCATGTGCATTGGAAACCTCAATTCTCACACTCTATTTTTGCCTTAATAGTTTCATATCCGACTCCATAATCCCTTATTCCTTCTTCTCCCTCTTAATTCTCAGTGCAGAAAAGAAAATAGTACTTGTTTGGTGGCACTGGGAATAGATGATGGTGAAGTCTTCACCATTAATGCCACTCCTACAGAGTTAAAATGGAAATCTTCTGGACATTATCATAGGTATGCTAGGAAAAATAATAAGATGATATGATCATAAATTTTCTGATTATTGATGGTTAAAATAACCAAATTTGGAGTAATACATGAAGCTCAGAACTTTTCCATGTGCAGTAGAATTGCTGCTCTTTCTTTTGCAAACAAAGGGCATAAAGTTTATGCTATTCGTACATATGGAACAACATGCAAAATGAACTTTGAAGCTGGTGAACTGTTAAAAGAAATGAAAATCTCAAATAAACTTATCTCTTCATCTGTATATATTTTTCTGGAGAGTCTTCCCAACACATGGTCCTTAAATTGTCTTAAACTTTTTCTTCTAACGTTTGTTTTCTTGTAATGATAGATGATAAAATATTAGCTGCATCAAATACCAAGATCAGAGTTCTCACCTTAGATGATGGAAAAGAACTACTTAAGTTTTCCACAGATGTTGTATGTTCCTACCTTTTGTATGCACATTTTTAAAGTGATTATTGCAGTTCTGATGATTTTTTTTTTTTGACTTTTCTTTAGGGTCCTGTGAATCATATGTTATATGTTGGATGATACAAACACCATAATTACATATGTATTTGGTGACAAGAATCTGCATGTGTGGAAAAATGGATAAAGTTAACAACCATTAGCTGCAGGAGACTATGCATCGAGTACAATTATTCCAGCTTGTAAAGTTGTGATTGACATATCAAATGTTGCAAAAGATTTGATTGATTTATCGAAATCCCGATAATACCCTTTACATGCTTCCATCAACCCCACAAGCAATGTTGGAGGCAATGGGTGGCTCTATTGGACCTAATGTTGTCATTGCTACAAAAAGAATGTTGCCCTTTTGACTGCACGAGACCCCTCTGCTATTCCTTCTATTTGTCATTTTTCTACTTCCCTTCAATATCTTGTAGGTGTGTGTGTGTGTTAGAGTGATGTGAAATTACTAAAATACCCTTGGTTAATTTTAGGGCTGGAAGGTTCGGATGTCGGCTTAGCATCGGTGTTGGAATCGATGGAATTCTATTTGAAGTTGCGGGGTTAAGAAGCTTGTGTTTTGGAGGACTTAGCCAAAGCTATCAATCTGGTGCATATCAGGAGGGATCTTGTGGAAAGTGGTCACGCGTTGCTAAAACATGCTTATCACAATCTACAAGAATACGAAAGGTATGAAGGTGGAACTAGAATCTGTGATTCTGATGGAATTAGAATATGTGATTCCATTCCAATGCCAAATAAACGGAGTTTAATTCTATCTGAAGGTGGAGCCAGAATCAGTGATTCTGATAGAATCGGAATCTGTGACTATGTTGGAATCAGAATCTATGATTCCATTCCACTGCCAAATCAACGGAATTTAATTATATCTGAAGGTGGAACTAGAATCAGCGATTACGACAGAATTGGAATCGGTGATTCTAACGAAACCAAAACCTTACAAAATTCAAATGAAAACCAAAATTGCAAGAGAACCTTTTGACATTATGGTTAGTGTAATGGAATGTATTTTTGTATATGTATGATATCTTGTTTTGCATTATTAGACATTAAATGTGTAATTTAGTTTGTTTAATATCTAGTACAAATTAAGAATATATATATATATATATATATATATATATATATATATATATATATATAGCGCCATGACATACAAAATGTCGTAAAACTATGTCAAAAATCATGTCGTATAGAATGTCATAAATGTTTGTCATAATATAGCGCCATGACATACAAAATGTCGTAAAACTATGTCAAAAATCTTGTCGTATAGAATGTCATAAATGTTTGTCATAATTGCAAGAATGTTACAAATTACGACATACAGAGCCAATCATAAATGTATGTCGAAAACGTGTGTCTTGTATCTGTCGTAAAATTTATGACAGACCAAATGCCTGTCATTATCCTTTATGACATGGCTTTCAATGATAGACATTTGTCTGTCATGTATAGGCATTTACGACAGACACTGTCAAGGAAAGCCTTTTTTTCTAGTAGTGGGAGTGGATTTACAAAAAGGTTTTTATTAGATCTTTTAAAACAACTTCAATAATGAATATTTTTGTTTATTTTTAATATTCTTTTTTTAATTATTATTCATAATTATATAACTGAAAAATAAAGTCGCGAATGTAATAAACAAGATTGATGATATAGTACGATATTTTTTAGTTTTTACTTATTGTTAAACGTACCGTACAATTGAATAGATTTAGTGACATTCTCCACTAAGTGTTATTATTTTTTCATAACTTTTGATCAAAATTAAAACTTGATTATTATTTAATTATTTTTGTTGTGATGTTGAAAAATTATACAACTATTGAAAGATAACTTATAGTTTAATTTATTTATACACATAAATACAACAATTGAAGATATTTTCACTTATCTAAATAATAATAATAATAATAATAATAATAATAATAATAATAACAAGATTAATCAAATTTAAATTTATTCTAATAAATGAAAGTTTGTTTGTCACATGTTACACTCTTATTCAATTTGTTAAATATCATTTTGTGGTTATTTTGAATTTTTTTTTTCTAGATGTCATTTTATAAGATTTCTTATTTTATTAAATTTCACATAATATTTTAATATAATAATAATAATAATAATAAATATAGTAATAAATGGATATCAAATTCATTAATCGACTTACCTTCTAATTTTAAAATTCCCAAATTAAAGTTCATTAGTTTCTTTTGTTTATTTATTTAAATTTAAAAGATAAAAAAATATTTCAATTTTAATAATTCATTATTTTTTTTTATTTTCTTATAAATCCAAAGTTCTTAAATATTTAGACATTCATATTTAATCTTTTGTTTTAAATTAATCTATATAATACATGGGTCTCATAGCTAATTTCTTACTAATTTAAAATAAAAACATAAAAAATATATCCCATCTCTAATAAAAGAATCATGTTTAGGCCAAATGACACATTTCTACACAAGACACTTTTTTAAAGCCTCAACTAATGGTTTCCCGCTCATATATTTTTCTCTTTCTGTTGAGTATTTCAATTAGTCCCAGAAAATTAAGCATCTTCAAAACCATCAACTATATCTTTCTTCGAAATTATCAGTACCTTGAATCTCTTTAAAGAAATAAATTTACACTCAATGCCAATGCTCTCTAGATCCACCCTCTCTTGCCACTGCTGTACCTTCACCGTCATTTTATGCACAAACAAGTTGTTTAAGTAGACCTCTTTTTCTCTGTAAACCATTTTGATCTATTAGATGTACTATAAAATCTCACAATCAGGTCTTTCATCTTCCAGCCGAGAAATCAGTTACTGATAACAGATATTTTGGGATTGATTAGCAAGATTCATAATCACTTCCAAAATTTAATCTTTGTATAAATACAAGTCCACCACATTATTTTTTACTGATGGATCGTTGAAAGTTTTTAAGCCCTGGAGTTATTTGATCTAGAAGTAGTGAGTTATTTGATTTTTTAACCCTAACGTCGATCAAATTTCATCTTTGGTTTCATTTGAATTGGAATTTTTCGTGTATCTTTGCCCTATTCATCTCTTTCAATTGAATGTTTATGGTTCTATAGATGCTCCTTTGTCAATTTGTTCCAAGGAATGATTATTTTAGTGGTTAGGGTTCATTTTTCACTAATTTGTCAACTAATTTTGTTCTGTTAACATTGTTTCTAAACAAACATACCAAGTGTTCCACGAAATTCCTCAATGGTTACTTGAGGTATCTACACATTAATGGATAAGACCTCTATTATTATTTCAAATTTTGGTCAAAATCTGATATGTTTAGTTTTTAAACCTATGTTGACTTTTCTTAAAACTATTACTTTATTTGCAAGGCATTTGACTATACAATTTGTATAATTTTTCTGGAAAAAGAATCTAATCAGAAAGTATAGATTTTGAGAGTAATAATAAAGTTACCCACTTTCCATTAACTTTACTTGTCAATTTGACAATTATTGTATGTTGTTACTTGAAAATCAAAATTTTATTGGCTATTTGTTTGTTCAAAATTTTCAGAAAGTGAATTATCCATTGGAGTGGGATATTTTGATCTTTGTTAATATGATCTTCTCAAAATCTGCCTAAAGAGTATAAGACACATTCAATCCATTGTATCAATCTATTCTTAGATTCAGTTTGACATATATATTATTGCAAAACTAACATCATTGTGTTCAACAGCTCGAGATCAACATTTTAATGTGAAAGCTAAAAGAGAGTATTGCGGACCTCATAATCAAAGTTTACCATTTTCTTTATTGGGCAAGAATTTAACCGCAATTACTTTACTTGTTGCCTTAAAACAGAATTTGAAATTATCAATTTGATTTCATCCAGATTCTTTTCATTTATCATGGGATATAAAATAATCATTATTTACTTTGATCAGTGAAGTTGATAGAGAAATATTGGATAAGTTGCAACATGTAAAGTCATATAGATTATACAAATACCAAAGAACAATGTTGTAATAGAAAAAGATACGAGTGGGATGTTATTATGCACCAATATATCAAAGTAATTTGCTATTACTTGCATTTAGGCTTATACAAAACCCACAAATAACAATGTATTTTTTTTATCAATTTGTGTAACAAGCACTCCTAGATGCAAGTTTTTGTCTATATTCCATATTGGATATTATTATTAATGTAGATTGATTATGTCAAACTCAAACACTAAGAGTCCATTTGCAATAAATTTATTGTTAATGATAGTATTTTGCTTCATTTCTATAAATTTGGGAAGCTTAGGTATCTCTATTCATTAATTCATTAATGACCAACAGTAACCTCTAATAATTTTAAGTTTTTTTTTTCTAACTTTCATCTTATTTTGTATACTAATATTATTAATTTGATTACAAAGTTTTAGAATATTAAGGCAACATACTTGGGGCGAGTAGCTATTGCGAACTCATGGAAGCCTTAAGAGGGTCAACAAACAGTAAGACGACATATGTGCATAAGAGGTAATTAACCAGAGTTTAAAATAAAATTTTTAAATAAAATGATTTTTTTTTTTTTTTTATGAATTGTTTGTTCTTTTCATTACAACATTGTAATAGGAAGAGATCAATGTACTATGCTATAATATGTTTGAAAGTACAATGTTATAATCTATTTCTTCATTAAAGTAATACTTTTTTTTAACTTTTTTGAAATAGCAACATACATTTAGGATAATAGCTTTGCTAATATTGAAAATTTTAAAATTATAAGTTTATCAAAATTAGATATTATCAACTAAACACTATAAATTAGTAAAAAATAATTAAATCAGTAATTAATAACGAAACTTATCAAGGTTAAGCTAAAATATCTATTTGCAAACGTATTATTAATTATAAGTTCAATTTAAGAACTATTTTATTCTAGTATAACAATAATCAAAACATATTATACTTCTTTCCCAACAACCTCCCAAAACTCTATATACTTTATCACTCCGTCATGGTCTTTGGTCTAAGTAGGTCTTGGGTTCAAATCAAAACCCAATCTGTTAGGTTAATAATATATTGGGCCTAAAGTGGGCCAATCCTATATCGACCTTAACTTTCATTACTTCATACTTCATAGGAAATGGACAGCTCAATAAACAACACTAAATGAAAAAAAAAGGGACCCAAACGTCATATCATATGATTACAACATGTTTCTCTATTGATTGCTTAACCCAAAAAGTGTACCAAATAAAACCCAACATTCACCATGTCTTCTTAAATCTGAAACGATTTAGCAAAAATCCCGGAAAGAAACGATCCACAAGAGCAGTGATGAATGCACATATGAAAATTGAAGTAAATACATTTACATAAAGCTTCGGAAGCTATGCCAATATCTATCTTCATTCACCTTCATTATATGCAAACTAATCTTATTTTCTTTCCCCTTCATTCCTACATTTCACAACATCAAATTAGTAACGGATTCAACTGAAATTCAATATCAACTTTTGTTAAATAAAAATGGAGTATTTATTTATTACCTTGAAGCGCTTTGCGCGTGCGTTATTTTGCGAATAACGAGGTACATACGGCTGATATCTATTAGCTTCACTTCTATTATAATTCCCAGCTGCAACTTTAGGCGTTGACCTATTGTTGACTTCGCTTTGACTTGTAGTATTTCTAAATACGTCATCTTTGTCCCAATTCACCTCATAATCAGCCTTCAAACGAGATCCTTCCTGCAATCCAATCATAAATTCGTAATTTAAAAAAAAAAAAAAAAAAAATACATTTTCCATTTTAGTAGCGAGTGGAATAAAAGAAAACAATGTTTGTTACCTTTTGTAATGATCTTCCACATAACACCTTCAAGGCCTTACAAAACTCGTTATGGTTATCAAATCGAACCAAAATCTTACACTGGAGACCTGGAACTATGTCTTCATCATCTTCATCTGCATCTTTTCCTATACCATCATCTTCACCAACATCAAGATTCCTATTCAGAAAA